CGGCAGCTGGAGCCGCGGGGTCCCGAGGACGCTTGCCGGGTGCCGCCTCGCGCCCTCGCCGACTCCTCAACAAGCCGTTTCTCCAGACGCTGGCCCCGGCTTTTGACTGTCCCCTCCCCATTCCTTCTCACAGACAGACAGAAGACCCACAGACAGGCAGACAGGGGTGGCTGTGCCCAGTTTAAACCTTCATGTCCTTCAACCTGACAACACGTAAAACTGATGTGAACTTCGACTTCCTGAATGTAAACTTTTCATCAAATGCCCATGAACAAGAGGAAGGAAAAAACACATGGTGGCCTGCGGGGCTCTGACACCCTCTCCCTGTGACCCCACTGAAGGCAGCAGCCAGTACAAATGCCAACGAGGCTCCCAGACCTGACCTCGGTGGGGGGCAGGGGGAGGCTTCACATCCTGATGGCCTCTGGGAAAATCTTTTGAGTAAAATAAAACCAGCAGCTCCTGTGTTTTCCCATTGTCCTGCATTAAGCCAGTTTATATGCCACTGCAGTCTGCCTATGTGCTGTCTAATACCAAAACAGCATGAAGATTTTTGGCAAACTCTAAGATGGAACGAATGGAGTCCCTGGGGGGTGCAAACGATTAACTGAAAGGTTGGCAGTTGCAGTCCACTCAGAGGTGCCTCAGAAAAAAGGTCTGGCAATCTATTTCTGAAAGTTCAGCCACTGAAAATCCTCTGACATACATGTGGTCGCCATGAGTTGGAGTCGACTCGATGGCAACTGGTTCAAAAGTGAAAGGAACAATTTTCACGTCGACCTGGCTGTGAGGTCCTGTTCCAACGGTGACCAAGGTGGGAAATGGCAGTACTGCCCACTGCTACAGTGACCCGGGTGTGACGCCCAAGGCCAGAACTGAGGTTGGTGGCTGGACCCTGGAGGGCAGAGGAGAACTGCCCCACAGGGTTTCCAAGGAGCGGCTGGTGGATTCCAACGGCCGACCTTTTGGTTAGCAGACAAACGCTTGTCTACTGCTCCACCAGGGCTCCAGACGGGAAGGGAGACACTTCAACAGTGCTGTTGTGTTGCTCTAGGCATAGACGAGGGATTAGAATTGAATCTGTGAATGCACTTCTTCAAGGAGTTTTAAATCCCTGCAAGCATTTTCCTCACCAGCTACTCTTGAAGCAGTACAGGAATCCTCCGGGCTCCGGTTGGTGGTGACACCGTACGTTCTTAAACAAGCTCTTCAGGCAGGTTTTTATCCTTACACAACAGCTACAAAGGAAATAAATTCTGGGATGGCACTGGGATAGACAAAAAAGTGTTTTCATATAAAAATGACTGAATTGTACATGCTTTGCAACTCCTGAATGAGGTGATCCTGGGTCACCCAGCACTATGTAGGGAGTGCGAATGTGGAAGAAAGGGGTGTGCACCCTAAGACGTTCCAGTCAGACATCACAACTTCCATCTCCAGCAGATAAGCAAGCCTATGGAGGGCTCCTGAATAAGCGTTCCTGCTGAATGGAAGCATGTGTGAGCTAAGAACGCCAATTAAATCCTCCACGAGGTGAGCTTGCCCGGTTCTCAGAATACACTGGGCCTGCCCACTTCCTACCTGCAACTGCAGACCAGTCATCCAACCACTTCTTATGACCCCACACCCAACAATGTTCTGATCCCTAATTCAAGGCTGTGGAGTGC